CGGCAACACGCACCAGAGTCGTTTCTTCAAGTTCTACCGACTTGGACATGGCGTGCCTAAAGAAAGCTGTGTATCGATGGGGGGGGGGCGTCAGCCCATCCATAGCATTATTCCACTGACAGAGGACATGGGAGGGAATGCCACCCACCCAAGACCACCGCCGGATTGCTGCACGCCAGAATCTTAGGACCCTCCGCAACCAGAGCCTGCTGAAATGCATCGTGTGTGCTGCCTGGTGTGTGTGTGTGTGTGTGTGGGGGGGTGCGTCACAACGCGGCGTGGCCACGAAGACGCGAGGGGTTAGGGGGGAGGGTTGGTGGTGGAGGGGGTACCGCGGTAGATGTGACCCAAACTCTCGACCAGCGCCGTGGCGACCGGCTCGTTGTCCGCGGCCTGCAACACGCGCGTGCACACGCGAGCAAAGACGGTTGGCACTTCGTGCGTTGTGATGGCCCAGGAGAACTCGTCCTCCTCGTCGCGGTTGTTGCGCTCCTCCACAAACGGCTCGCTCCACAGCAGCGCCGGACCCAGGCCGTTGAACAGCGCCTCCTTCTCCCACAGCAGCAGCAGCTGCGCGTCTCTCGTGCCGCCCTCGCCGGGGACCACGCCGCCGGGCTGGTCATCGAGGAACGTCAAGCACGCGTGAGGACCGTCGGAGAGGAACAGCCACCGAAAGAGCAGGTCCTTGACCGGCTTCCACAGCTCCCGCTCGCGCTGCAGGTGTTGCTCTCCGGTGGCCGACCAGTCGGCCTTGTCCGGACCGGCGAGGGCGACCAGGTAGGAGCGCAGCAGCAGGTTGCCGTTGGCCACCCAAGGCTTGCCCTCGTCGTTGTCGTCGTGCTCCTGGTCGTCCTCCAGGCGCGGGTCCGGGGCCTCGCGTGTCTTCCTGCGCGTGTCGAGGCCCCGCATCGACTCCGGCAGAGAGCGCCAGTGGCTCATGATGGTCGCCTCGGCCTTGGCTGTCTCCGTCAAGTCGACGATCATCATGGTGGAAGCTCCCTCGCTCGCCGGGTCTCCAGCTGCCGCCCCTGACATCATCTTTTCACTGTGAGGGGGGGGGTTCGCTAGCTGCTGTGGTTGTGTTTGGTCAATTTTTTACCTGAAAATAAAGCTGTGTGGCAATTACGCGGACCTTGGCTCGGCGTAGAACTGAACCAGCGATGCAAGTTCAAGAGAGCCATGCGGCGCAGCGGGCTAAAGAGGACGGCGTCATGTGGGCGTGGGGAAGCAACGTGCGCGTCCTTTCTACCCCTCCTTTTTTCGTCTCTTACAACGACGAAAAAAGAAAACAATATTAAAATTCTCTTCACCCCCTCTCTTCTCCCTCTTTCTTCGTTCATGTCCTTGGCGTGCGCAGGCGTACGGGCAGCTCGGGTGGGCACCGACGCCCACAGTGAGGCAACAGGCCAAGCCCAGCCCCATCGTGCTGGAGTGCGTGGGCGCGAGGCAAGTGGTACAGGTGGCGTGCGGCCTCTACCACACGGTGTGCCTCACGGCTGACGGCTTGGTCTTCTCCTGGGGTCGCAACGTCGAAGTACGCTTCCCCCCCCCCGCCACACAAAAATGTCTCTCCTCTGCACGTTGCGCTCAGTCAGTGCTGCGTGCGGTGGTCGGTCATCCAGCTCCAGCTGGGTCATGCCGGACCAAAGTCCAGCGGCGCGGCTGCAGCGGCTGCGGTGCAGGTCGACGCTGCACAGGTCCTCGAGGGTCTGGAGGACATGCCCGTGCAGCAGATCGCGTGCGGGCGCTATCACACCGCCGTTCTCACGAGTGCGTCCCGCACACTGTGTGGTCGGTGCGCAGTAGTGCAACACTAACTTCACTTGAGGGTGGGGGTTTGTCTCGCAGCTGCGGGCGCGATCATGGAATGGGGTTGGGGCGAGCAAAAGGCTCCGAGGCTGGTTGAGGGCCTGTTGGGTCTTCCCATCAGGCAGCTCGCTTGCGGGGTCTACACAACCATTGCCCTCACCTCCGACGGCCAAGGTATGTCATCACTTGATCGGCCATCAGGATGACATCTCGCGCACTGTGATGGCGTACTAGTTTCTCGTTTGTAGACCACGCCCCAGCTTACCGAGTTATTCTGATTCATTCATTGCATTCAGTCTACACATGGGAGGCACGCAAGCTGGGACAAGCTGGTTACGCGCCGCAACTGGTTGAAGCGCTCCAGGACAAGGGAGTGGTCAAGGTTTTGAGCGCCTCCCCTCTTCCCGCGCTAGTGATTGACTCAATTGAGCCTGGTGGCTGACCAGCGTGCACGCTGCACATGTTGGCAGCTTGCATGTGGCCTGTGGGACGTGATGGCGCTGACTGAGGACGGCGAAGTGTACACTTGGACGGACCACAGCTGGTCGCCATTCAACTCCAACAAAGTACGAACACAGCCGCGCCGAGTGAGCCGATAACCAGATGCACTCTATTCCCCCCCTACGCAACCCTCAACCCACGTGCAGGTGATCCCGAGCTTGGTGACTGCCCTGAGCGGACAGGGCATCACCGACATCGTGTGCGGCAAGGCCTTTAGTGTGGCCCTCACCGATGGTGTGACCTTCCCCTCACTCGCATGGGCATTTTGATCTCTTACTCTTGATGTGCTCATCTCTCTGTGCGCGCAGGAGGTGATGTGTGGTCGTGGCCCAAGGGCCGAGAAGATGAGGCCAAGCCCATGGAAGCCCTGCGCGATAAGGGGGTGCGCATGCTGGCTTGCGGCGATACCCACACGGTGGCCCTTGCCACGGTTGGTTGGCGAGGTATATAACCCCTTGACCTGCCCGCTACCCCTCTTCGATGTTGCTCATTGGGCTGCGATCACATGGTGATGAGTAGATGAGTGCACGGTGTTCACCAGCGGCCTGAATGACTACAACCAGCTTGGAAGTGTCAAGGATCGCACCACTGATGTACGTTACCGACTTACTCCCCTCATGTGTTGTAGTAGTAGCGTCGACCGTCATTGAAATGGCGAACTGCACGCGTCTGCGCGCACTCTAGGAGCCGAGTGCCGTGGATGATCTGGAGAATATGTCCTTCTGTCAGGTGGCCTGTGGCGGCTATCACACAGGTGCGTCGTGAAACGAGTGTTTTTTTATTTATTTGATATTTCATTTCGGCTCACTCCACGGCGCACCCACCCCAGTCGCGCTCACCGGCCCGTGGATGGGACTCAGTTCCGACTTGGTGGACGATCTGGCTGCCATACTTCACTCTGGTCAAATGGTACTGTGTTGGCCACATTCAACACCACCACCGTCAAGAGCCAATGCACTCACGTTGGTTTTGGTGCGACTGTATGTCCAAGGCGGACTACGAGTTCGTGGTCGACGGGCGATCCTTCCCCGTTCACAAGATCATTCTCGCCGCTCGGTGCAGCCATCTCGACCCTGGCCGAGGTACCTGCCCTGCTGATAATAACACTGCCCGTTGAACGACGTCCAATTCATCTCTCCACCTCCATCGCAAACTAGACCGACACCACGACTCGGGTCGAGATGAACGACGTCACCGCCGAGATCTTTGGAGTATTCCTCGAGTTTGTGTACAAGGATCGCTGCCGCGGTGAGTGCTATCCCTTTTCACTGCGCGCACGTCGCTGTGCTAACGTCTTGGACTTGGCCAGTATCGAGAGCCAATGGGAAGGCTCTGTTGAGCCTAGCGGAGCGATTTGGAGTACCCCGACTGGCCCGTCTATGCCACAACGCCCTATCATCGACGACGTCGAGAGGTGATACGGCCTCCCCGCTCGAGCGGCTGGGAAACGAACTGCTCCAGGTATGCACACTTGTGCCAGTGTGCCACTCAGCTCTGACCAGATACCGACCTTGCGTTCAGGTGCTTGACAGGCCTCAACTCTCCGACATCACTTTTCTCGCTGAAGGACATCGAATCCAGGCGCACAGGTACGCGCCACGCCCCATATCTGGACCTGCTCTCTTACAGCCTCTGTGGGCCTTTGTGTATATGTCTCGGGAACACGAGTAACATTGTGCTGGTAACCCTGACGCGCAGAGCCATTGTGGCAGCTCGCTGCCCCTACTTCAAAGCACTGTGGCACGCAGGCATGCGCGAAAGCGAGGTAATGCCCTGCAAGGTTACTTGGAGGCGCTGAGCTACAATCGTTTCCCTTGCCTCTTGCAGGAACGTGAGCTGAGCGTGGGAGAGATCGAGGCGGGGGTCTTTACCGACGTGATGAAGTACATCTACTCGGGACAGGTGGAGTTCAATCCCGATACCGTTGTCGAGCTCATGGCCGCTGCCAACCAGTTACGCAGCTTTTGTGTCTTCTCTGTTTTGACAAACGACCGGTGCCCTTTGGGCAATCTGACTCTCGTCTGTCACGACAGATATCAGCTGGTGCAGCTGAAAAGGCGATGCGAAAAGTACATCATCCAAGCCATCGATGAAGACAACGTTGAGGTTCGTGATCGGCCAATCACGATCTGTAACATCAATTGAGGAGCTGCTCCCAAATTGACCTAACTTCTGCTCTCTCTCTCTCTCTCTCTCTTCTCCCTCTGTTGTTCCAACCCTCTCTAACACAGAGCCTGCGTGAGGCAGGCGAATTGTATGGGGCCCCACTGTTGGTGTCGTGCTGCAAACGCTTCGTGTCTGCCCTGGTTTCCCCGACTCTCAAGCAGCAACCCGGACCTGCGCAGCCAAACTCGCCGCCTGCCGCCGGACCTGAAACCAAGCGGCCCAGAAAGGAGGATCGTGATGACGGTGATGCCCGTAAGTCGTCTGGTTGGAAGAAATACTTCTTCTGAAGTGTTGCGCTCAGCACCGACGATTCTGGGCAGCGGCTTCTGCCAGCGAAAAGAGCGACGGAAGCTTCTGTGTGGTCTGCACGGCGTCGACAAGATGGTGTGGTCCAATAGAAATTCAGTGATGGCAGGGCCGGACGACACAACGCCGGCAAAGTCCGTTTCGCCTTTCCCGTTCTCCCTCTTCGTGCGCAGTTTGGCCGCGGCGGTCGTGGTGGTGCTCCTCCAGTGTGTTGTTGATTGAGCCCTTGCGACGAGAGCATGCTGCGCGGTACGTCTGTCCTACGGAGGCAACAGGCTGCACGAAGCGTGGTTGGTCTGCGGCAGAGCGCAGCAGGCAGCCGCGGCCTCTATCACCTGCGTAGCGGTGCCTCCTCCTTGATCACCACCCCCACCACCACCACCACCACCACCACGGGAGGAGGTACTGCTCCGGCCCGAGGAGTTACCACACGACTTCGTGGGCCGGCGCCCTCGGGAGTACGAAAGGGACCGCCGGCCTCTTTCTACACCTCTTCATCCACATCTTCTTCTTCTTCCACAACTCCCACGACTACTGCCTCTTCCACGGCGACGAAGGCTAGTACTGCTACTTCTGCCTCCAGTACTCCCCTCATAGCAACCCCCCACGGCTCCCTGGTCTCTCGAACGCTGCTACAGCAGCCCCAGACGCAGGCCCGACACGTCTCCTCGAGCCCTGTGCCCGGGTCGCCTGCGTCGTTGGCCGCGGCCACGGCCATCATCCCGCCGCCTCTGGTCGACGCCGACGAGGGACAGCAGCGGCTGCCTCGAGCCGAGCAGGTACTGACCCAGGTCGTGCCCGCAAGCTTGCTGGCCGACTGGAAGCAAATCTTCAAGGTTCTTCTTCCCCGCACCATCACCGCTTTGGGCACCGCAACCTGCGGCCCTGTTGTACCTGATGACGCAATGGTCAGTGTAGCGGCCTGCATCTCTGAATTTTCATTGGTCGGCAAATCAAAGCCCACCAACCACGCGTGGACTAGTGACGCATGCTGCGCTACAGAGCATTAAAATTTCGCTCCCAAATGCATTTTGTTTGTTTTTACACACCACCGTGAGGCCTCTTTGCACTGACTTCTCTTCCCTCCTCTACCAGAAACAATTCTGGAAGGAAGACTTGATGGCCGGCCTGTCCGTGACTATGGTGTCTATTCCCTTGAACCTCGCCATCGCCCTTGGTTCTGGTGTACCGCCCGAGGTGCGTCCGCCCGTCTCCTCTTCTCTATCTCCTCTCGTTCCATGTTGTCGCTCACTCACAGGGAGGGAATGCAATGGACGTTAACCTAAACTCGGGCGCTCGTGTGGTGACAGGTCGGAATACTCACCGGTGTGGTGGCTGGCGCCACCGCGGCCGCTCTTGGCGGTTCAAGATTATCAATCACAGGACCTGCTGCCGCCATGTCGATGGTATCATCTGCTTGCTTGCTATTTATTTTCATTTATTTCATTTATTATTACACTTTGACGTTTTCAATGCTGACATGTGAGACTTGTTGTCGTGCAGCTTGTGGCCAATGCGGTGAGGGACCATGGCCTGGCCGGCTTGGCGATCGCGACCATATGCTGTGGCGCCATGCAGATGACCACGGGCGCTCTGAAGCTGGGCGGCATTGTCAAGCTGACTCCAGCACCCGTGATGACCGGATTCATGACTGGAATTGGTATGCCTCCGCCGCCACTCACGGGAAAGTTCCACAACTTTAAGCTCTTCTTCTTCTTCTTCTTCTTATTTGGCCAACCTCCATATATTATAATGTGTGCGTGTAGGGGCGCTCATCATCACTGCCCAGTTGCCGCGCGCTCTGGGCGTCCATACCCTCAACATGGAAACCATCCGGCTCAACATGCCGCATTTGTTCTCAGCGGCCGCAGATTCGTCGATGGAGCTGGCATCAACCCTTGCCGCTGAGCAAGCGAACCTCATTTCTCTTCCATCTCTTGGTACACGCCCTGACGATGATTCACATGGGCCTCCATTCTCTCTCTCTCTTGCCAATTGGCTGACGTCTCGCACTTTGTTGGTACGTACCAGGTTTGGCCGCGCTCACTGTGGGTATCACCATGGGCCTTAACCGCACCAAACTGGCGGCTAAGTTGCCCGCCGTCATGGTGGCCGTGGCCATCACGTCCACCCTGCAGGGCGTCCTCCAGATGCCCGGGGTGGAGATGATCGAACCGCTGCCGGCGATCTTCACTTCGATCACCATGCCTTCGCTTCCGTCCCTCGGCGAAACCGCGCACATTGCCGCACTCTCGGCTCTCTTCGTACGCTCTCTCGACCCCTAAAACCCTTCTTCCCCATCCCCTTTGGCTCAAAGGCGTGGTGCACAGTTGGGTCGCGGATTCTCATCACACACTTGTTCTCCTTGTGCCCCCCCCCAAACAAACAACAGTTCGCTATCGGCTCACTCGAGAGCTTGCTGTCCTGCGGGGCTGTCGACAAGCTGGCCAAAGCGCGGCGCGGGTTTGATCCCAACCAGGAGCTCGTCGGCCAGGGTGCGGCGAACATGGCCTGCGGCATGCTGGGTGGCATGCCGGCAACCAGCGTCATCGCGAGGTCCTCTCTGTCGGTCCTTGCTGGCGGAAAGACGCGAAGGGTTGCCCTGTCCATGTCCGGCCTGATGCTCATCTCGACGGCGCTCCTTTCGGACGTGTTCCAGCACATCCCCGTTCCCACCCTGGCCGGCGTACTGCTTGCCGTCAGCACGCGAATGGTATGTACCATCACACCTTTGAATAATTTGCTTTGCCTCCCCAATAATGCTTGTTAGCAGAACTGCTTGATCCCTCATCCTCTTCACCTGCCTATATATTGTTTCTTCGCGTGCGTGTGCGGCGATTTGTGCAACAACAGATCGACGTGGACGAAATGAAGCAGATCTGGGCAATGCGCAAACCGGAAGCATTGCTCCCAGTGGGCATTACTGTGGCGGGCATGCTGGCCGCGGACCTGGTTGTGGGTGTTGCCATGGGGCTGACGAGCTCCTTGGCTCTCAACCTCTATCATCGAGGGGGATCCATGCCCCGACCATCGCTTCAGTACTGCATTCGAAATGTGCGTAGCAGGATTGCTCTCGTGTCTTGTGTTGCTTGTTGTCCTCTGCGTGTTCATGAACGGCGCTCACGCGACTATCTCTTGTTGGGCAACAACAACAACAACAACAACCAACAACAACAACAACCAACAACAGGATGAAATTGCGGAGGCGGGCAAGCGGCTGGTAAGGGTCAGCTTGGGCGGTCAGGTGGACTTCTTGGGCGGCATGAGGGTTCAGCAAATGCAAATCGATCTTGACGACGCACTCAACGGTGGTACGACCCTACCCTTTTTTTCTCTGTCCTCCCCGCGCCTCTCTAGCTGCCGGCGTTGTGATCTGATCGTTGGTTCGTGGCACCGGTGCAGGTGCTGCTGAGTGCCACAACGAGAACAACGAAAGCGTAGAGGCACACGTCATGTCACCCACGGCCATTGAAGTGGACATGAAAGGAGCCACCATCACAGATGTGTCAGGAGCGTTCCTGCTTGGTGAACTCGTCACAGGACTGCAGCGCAGGGGACATACAGTCAAGGTCGTCAATGCGCTGCCAGATTGCAGGGTACAACCCGTCATGTACCTTCAACAGCATACATTGCGCTCTCTCCGTGTTGGGCCTCATTTCTTCTCTTATGTCAACAACCAGGAGCTACTACTGAAGAGCCATGTGCCTGCTGAAGCTGTCCACAGTTGACTGTACAATGTGCAACCAAAAAAAACAACAACATTTCGCCCAACACTCACCAACACCCAACTGCCCACATGGAATGAGGAAGTTCAGTGTGGAGATCTTCCAATTCCCGTCAGCCCAATGTATACGTGCGGGCACTTTTTGCGCAAGATGTTGAGAGTCCATGTAACAATATGTTCAGTGTGGAGATCAGACGCCACAGCTTGAGGAGCTCGCCATGCCACAGGCCCAGCAGCGCCAGCGCGCCAAGCGTCAACAGCATGATGTAGAGCAGCCCCAGCTGCGCCATCCGATATGTCATCACCGCCACAAACGACGCCAGCAGTCCCATTCCATATCGTGTGTGTGCGGCGTGTAGTGGTGCGTGTGTGGTTGTGAGTGTCATGGTGCACAATCAAACGCGCGCATGCAAGTGCGTACCCGCATAGAAAGCAGAGGTCTCCTCTCCCTGGCCTCTTCTTCTTCTGCTGCTTCTACCTTCTCTTCCTCCTCCTCAACTTCGATGTCGTCGCCCTTTGTCATGCGCTCGTAACCTCTCAACCCGACCACACAATGCACACACAGCACGCGACACACGTGCAGCGGCATGGCACACGGCTGATACGAAGCTTACAAAAAATGTGCCGGGTACAGGATGGCGCATGGCGGGCTGGTGACCGGCGGGGCGAGTGTGCTGACGGTGATCTTTGCCTGGTTCGAGTGTCAGCACTAGATTTTCAACAATGGTGCGTTCAGACCTTTTGAATTCATTGATTGCCACGTTCTTGCTTAGGCACATGCACACGCACACGCACACACGCACCAGTGCAGGGTTGGGAGTGCGACTGGACTGTCGACATCGTGCTGCCGGGCCTGCTCGCCATGCGGTTGGGCCATCGCAAGACTGGGGGCACCTTGACCAACCTCCACTCGGGTTGAGCGCCCATGCAAGCATGAAGAAGCCCGTGATGCACACCGACAGGCTCCCACGAGCGCGAGTGCCGCCGAAAGAAGACCACCAGCTGGCGGTCGTAGTGGTGGTGGTGGTGGTGGTGGGTGGTGGTGGTGGGTGGTGGTGGTGGTGGGTGGTGGTGGGTGGTGGTGGTGGGTGGTGGTGGTCGCCTTCTTGGGTGGCATGTTTGCTTTAATAGACCAAGGGTGAGACAAGATGATGACAATGGAGACACATGAATTTTGCTGTTGCATGTGACAACAACCATGTCGTTGGCGCCTAAGCAGTGCATCCAGACTGTCCAGGATTTTGCCATCATGAGTCAGCTGTGGCAGGATCATCTGGTGGTAAAGATCACCCCACTGCTGAGTGATTTCTTCCTCTCCATCTACCATTCATGTCTCAACTATGCCAAGGTTGTGCTGGCCAAATCAGGCAACATGGTCAACCCCATCAATCACTTTGCACATGCTGTTGAACCTCAATCTGAGCAAACACACCAATTCACTGGATCATATCATCAAGCAGCTGCCAGAACTCATCACAGCTTTCAAGACCTTCTTTGTGGTGCAGGCGTGGGTGCTCACCTCAGTGCAGCTCCAGAAGGGTGCCAGATCCATGTCACCAGCACTCATGGCAAAGTGGACAGCGTAGAAGAGCGTGCCACTCACGTGTTGTTTTCCCCTTTCTGTCATAGAACTCGCCCCGCTCCAAGTCGCTCAAAACGCTGCGCACCGCATCGAAGGCGAGTACATCGTACTCTTCCGCCCCGACACCACGCGCCCGCAACGTACCTCCAGTTCACTTTCTCCTTCGGTTTCAATGTTCTTTTTCGATAATGTCGGTTTGTGTGCCCGGTGTTGTGCGGTGAGCGCAGTCTTGGCGCTTGTAGAGGCGATGAAGCTTGCATTCGCTGCCACGACTGATGGCAGCGAGGTGAAGAACGTGCACGTCATCGGCGACAGCTTCCGCGCCATCTCCGCCAAGCTCTCGCCCGCGTACGTACCACGTCTCCTGTCTGTATTAGACACATTGCCCTTTTGACTTCTTAACGTTCGTGCCACTTGTGGTGAGTGCAGTATGGCGCAGAAGCTGCGAACTCACCCTGCTGTTTCCGTTATTGAAGAGCATCAAATCGCGCACGTCAATGAGGAAGAGAAGTGCCATTTGCAGAAGGATGTTATCTGGGTAAGGCCACCCCACCACCTGTGATGGCAACCGTTGAACCTTGAAGCAGCATCGATGGTACCAACGTTGCACTGTGTATCACCCCCCACTATCCAGAACTTGGATCGTATTGATACGCACAGCATCGACATGATTGACGATAACTACAACTACAACTCTGCCGGTCAGGGCGTTGACGTCTACATCATTGACACGTACGCACACCTTTCCGCTCCAGCCAGCGTTGTAACCTACTACACTACCACTAGGACCAGCCAGGCGAACCTCCATGTAGCGATCCTCCTGGGACGCGACCTCCACTACGTCAAGAAGACTCTGAGTCTCAAAAGGGAGGGCCATTCAAGGACTGGCTGGCGAAGGCGACGAACGACTCCATCAAGCCTCGCACCGCCCGACAGAAGATATCTCTCTGGGAAGGCTTCCGTAACTAGCCACTACTATGCCACGTCTCGGCCCCGCAGGAGGAGATGGCGAGGAGGAGCAAGGAGATCTGCGACTACCTCGAGAAGAACGCCGAGGAAGTACATAAACACGATTGTTTTTTCATTGTTATCCAACATCAACATCATCAACAACATGTCTCGCAACGCTGGCGCTGGCTTCACTACCTTTCGCTTTGCCTGTGAGAGTTACCTCAATCTTCATTGCACCCCCAAGGAGGAGCGAGACGACGCCTACGACAGGTTCGACGAGGGCGACTTCACGCCGGAGCAGTGCTGCGACAGCATGATCGGAGGCACCCCCATACCTCCCATGTGCCCGATCACCGACGACCATGCGAGCGATCCCTGTCGTGGACCCCTCTGTGCCCACTTTCGTGCCTTTAGTCGCTCGGCCTACGTCGAGAAGGTCACAGAGGGTCTGCGCGACTACGAGTCCAAGACCAACGGACTCCTCAAGCCGGTACGAACCATTTGAAGACTCGAAACGCTTTGTCGGCGCGAAGAGAAACCTCCAGCAGGAACACCTGCGCCGCTGCGTTCGCAGAGCACGGAGCGGTGTGAGATTGTGGAGCTGATTGAGCAACTTAGTTGTTGTTGGAGACCACGTACCGTCCAACGTGAGCACCGCAATACCCTCTTCCGAGAGGTCGATGTTGACCATGTCCAAGAGCTCGTTCAACATCTTCACCAGCTTGGCGAACGACAGTGGATGTCTCAGCCTGTATGTCCCAGCTGATCAGGTGGGCTCCCTGCCGCATCCTGCCAACCGAGCGACAAGGCGCGTACTCTGCGTAGAACTGCATGGTCTCTCCGCTCATCTGTCGTTGAGTCTGCGTCTTCTTCAACTTCCTCTACGCGCCGGTCGGCGAATGCGCTCCTGGGGCAGGCCAAGCCGCAGGAACGCCAAACGCAGGCAAA